CGATCACACGCCTGCAGAACAGGTGATGATGATGATGATGATGATGATGAGGAGGAGAGGAGAGAGGAGGAGGAGGAGGAGGAGGAGAGGGTCTGAAGTACAGCAGTGTTCAAGGGAAGGAGGTCGACTCAAAGACGTTCGAGAAGGTGAGCGAGGTGGGGCTAGGCAGGGAGCTGAAGCTGCAGGCAGTGGTGGAAGGAGGAGATGGAGCCTTTCTTTGACCTCGAGGTCCTCCTTCTCTCTCTCTTTTCCTCGCGCAACTCATCCTCTTCTTCTCACAGTGGGGCGCCATGAAGCCGCAGAACGTTGCGGCGGCAGAGTACGAGGCCATGCTCAAGTGCAAGCAAGCTACTCGCAGCCGCCTGCACGTGCATGTACGAGCCAACGGAAGCTTGATGCCGCCTGACTTGTCTGCAGAGGACCGAGGAGAGCGACACGTGCGAGTTCTCCTTGAAGTTTCTGCACAGGTAGCAGTGTCTTTCTCCTCCTCTGCTTCCTCCTCCCTTGTCTCGCCATCCTTGTGTATCCAGTTTCACATTCTCCTCTCCCCCCACATCACCACATGTTGCCCTCCATGTATTTCCTATGTTCATTCCTCTCCTTCGCTGCATCACCTCTAGCTCCCTCTTCCGCCTCCTCCATATCCTCACCCTCTCCCCCAGCGAGATCCAACCTGAAGGCCTCAAGAACGGCAAGTGGCCGGTGCGCGAGAGTTTCATCCGCTCTGCCCTGATGCTGATGCTCCCTTGGCTCGCAGGACGATTACGACCTCTCTGACCATGGCATCTTGACTGCATACTTCGCTCTAGAGTGCTGCTCCGGCAGCTCGAAGGTGCCCTCCAGTTCAGACATTACCAAGACGAAATGGTTGACGAGCATTGCAGGTCGAGGGTGGCGGAGCCCATTAGGAAAAAGAGTTTAAAAGCTTCCTGCTGGAAGTTGAAATTGTTTGGCCTCAGATCGCTGAAACCACTTGTGAGATTCAAGCTGTAATATATTTTCGTTTTCTAGTAAGAAGCATGTTCTTTTGCTATCTTTGTCCAAATCTTCAATCATATCCACGCGCTCCAACCGTGAAAAAGTTGGCAGAGATTCTCAGGGTCCGTCGCCTCTCGTATGAGCCGTCTGATCTGAGTTTCTATCCCCAGCACCTCCCCCCCGTACGCCCCCTCCAACTTACCTTTGATGGATCCCCGGACAAGAGTTGCAAACAGCGCCATCTTCTCTGCACCGTTGTTGTCGTTGACCTTTGCTGATAGCCGTTCCAAGTTCGACTCGTACAGCAAGATGTCAATGACGGACAGCAGGGCATTCTTGTTTTCTCGCATGACGCGCATTGATTCGATGCAACAGCGGATGAAGGAGCCCTCCACCCCCAGCATGCCCATCCCGTCAACCATGTCCCTGGTAAGGCGGAAAGGAACAGTCTCTGGGTATCGAGGGGTGGCCCGGGCGAAGTCAAACACTTGGCCGAGGTCGATGTGGAGCAACTGACGATCAGCATCGATCAGAATGTTGGAAAGGTGCCGATCTCCGAGTCCGACGATGTACCCGACCATGGAGGATGCTGCTGCGCTCCTTGTGTAGTTGAGCCGCTTCCCGAGGTAGTCGCTCGCGCTAGAGGAGATCTCTAGGAAGTGATACCTGAATACAGGGGAGACCTTGTCGCAGATCAGGTCGAACTTGGATCTTAATTCCCTTGTCATATCAGAGTGTAACTGCATCCTCTCTCCCTCCGTCTTTGCTTTTCCCAGCTTGATCTTGTAGCTTTTCTGTATCCCAGAAATCATTTGCCTACACGTGACAAAATTGAAATCTTGAGGATCAAATCGAGCATGCAGTGAGTCGGTATCCTTCCGTACGAGGACATCACTAAGAGACTGAGCTCCCTCGACGAATTCTATCAGTCCTACATCCTTGGCGATTGGGATCACTTTGTACATCAACATCTTGAGGTTCCTTTCCCGGCAAGCGCTGTCCTTCTTGAGGAGAACATTGACCACCGAGAAAAGCTGCGAGGCGATCAAATCGGTGTTCGGGTCATCTTTCTTGACAAGCTGAGGGAATGCTACATTGTTACAAGATATGCAAACAATTTTCTTTGGTTCTGTGATCCCACCTGGGATGATATAGTGGTTTTCGAATCTCGATACATACTCATACTGTCCCGAAGCGGAAAGTGCCGTAGGAATCGGAATCGACTTTTTCTCGTTCCATCGAATTTGTTTCAATTTCGGTGATATTTCCTTGGGATCTTTTGAATCACTTCTATGCTTCTGTTGAGTATCTTTCAGCTTGTTATGACTCGCCAGCTCCTGGTAAGCCTCTTTCAATGTGCGAGTCCTCTCAAAGATCAACTTGAAGTTGTTGTCTTCCTCATATTGGTTGAGGGTGAAGATGATGTCCTTCGCAGCTTCAACCTCCTTTGATGCAATAAACAGTAGCTCGAAGATCAGCTCGTGAGGAAATTGCTTGAAAAACTTAACGAGCAGATCAATAAGGCATTTACGAAAGTATTCATCTTTTTGTCCCAACCGCATGATCAACTGCAAAGACATGTAAGTTCTCTATCGAAAGGACATGACCAAGATGAACCTGGCATGCAATGACTCTGAAAGAGCTAAAATCCTGTATTTGAGACACTTGTTCAGAGATTACAGTGTTGACTGCCCTGTTGTTCGAATGCTCGAACCACAGATGAAGTACATGAAAAACAGCATCGTGAGCATACTTGCCAGCGCTGCACTGAATGATGCATCGAAGGTAATTTTCCAAGGCTGTTTTCAAGAAGATCTCTCCCGATACCCCAGTGAGCAGGTTGCCCCTTAAGAATTTGATGTGATTGTCGCGAATGTCGGGCTTCGTGTCTTCCGCTTGCTCGAGATCCATATGAACTGGTTCACTGCTTGAGTCCTGGAACATACAAAAGTCAGCACAAAGAAAAGTTATCAAGTTTACTTACAGAGCCCGTGTCGATCATTCGCTCCAGATATGAAGCATATTCAAAATGGATCTTTGCTCGATGTACTGAGGTCAGCGCAGAACTCAACGTAATGGCTTCAGAGAAGAGCTTAGAAAGCCTTGAAGATCCTTCAGTATCAGACATCCACTTTGCTTTTAACCGCAATGCATTGAACAAGCAGTATTTAGCAGCACACGATCCACCAAGATCACTGGCAAAGGCTGTTCTGCATTTGCTCACGACATGGTCAAGCGTCCTCAACGCGTACATGTTTTCACCGTTCATCCACTTCACCTTCGCATCGCGGAGATACCAGATTCCAGTGTGAACTTCAAAATCTTGATGTCTGGGACTTTGGTTTCGCAACCTCTGCATTATCATCTTGGCGTAGTCGATGTTTCCATGATTGTAGGCAATCTTTGCTGCACCACATTGATGCATGTAGAATGATGTAGAAAGTGGTGCGAATATGCGAAGCAATACGCTATGCATTGAAATCAAAGGTTCGCACAATTCGAAGTTACGATTAAAGTTTCTGTAGCAACTTTCCCACTTCAGTACTACATTCTCAGCAACTGTGTTCAAATGTTGATTGCTCCTGCAAGTTCCAAACTCGTTTACACATAATTGTACATCGTCGCACATTCTTAATTGAACAATCGCATTTTCACGCTCCTTCTTCACTTTTATGTCTGTCGACTTCAATCTCTGAGTTGTGATGAACCTCGCCTGGTCCAGAAGTGCATTCAATTGCTGCATTTTACCATTTTCCAGTGATTTTGCCTGTTCGCGGGCCAAAATGTCCAAAGACATGAAGAGGGATGCATGAAATGAGAATTTTGCAGATGATTTGACATCCAAAGAAAATTTCTCAGGAAGATCCCAAAATTCTGACCGCCATGCAGCTTCAAAATAATCCTCCACATCGACTTGGCTGAGTTCGTTGGTTGCTACAAAGAGGGAGAGCTTAGAAAAGCCAGAGGAATGCATTTTCCTGCACATTTTTGCATCGACCAACCCTCTCGATGATACTGGACCTGTAAAATTCGGTAAATAGAAAATCCCAGAATGATCTCACTTACTCCTTTCCAAGACATCTGTACACTCAAATTGACCAAGTGACTGTTGGGCAGACATTACAATGATGAAAATACAGCATGATTGTTTGCTTACCTCTCTCCACGATTTGACTGGACCAAACTCTTGCTCATCCAACTCGTACATGCGAAGATCATGTAGTGCTTGGATATCATCTGGCTCGCCCGATTGCTCATAAGCTTTTGAGATAGAAATCAAAGTAGAAGGCTTCTCCTTCAACGAGTCATAATCAAGTTTTTTCGATTTGTTCTCGTTCGATTTCAAACCATCTGCGGGCTCGAAGTCGAGATACAATATGCTTTCCAGAGACTCCCCACAACGTGTAGCAGCATCTCCAACCAACTTGTAATCAACATCAAACCAATAAACCTTGTCCCAAGATCTTGTTTTTTTCAGATTTTGGTTCCTGTGAGCCCGAAACAGTTTGAAAGTTTTCAGCATGATGCGGATTGTATCCAAGTTCTCATTCTCAGCGCAAAATACGTACTTGGCCAAGTGACTGCCAAATTCAGACTGCAATTCAAGAGCAGAACCAGGTGAGTGACAGGCATCCAACCAGAGAAACGGAAAGAACATCTCAGTAAACGATGGGCTCAGCTTACATAACGGAATCAGCACTTTCCATAAAGGCTTACGCGCGTATGTTTCAATAAGCCACAAAGAAACGTCAATAATCCATCGCTCGTATGATTTCCCTTCAGGATTCAAAACATCGATCCCACGATTGATCACCTGCTCTTCAATGTTGCCGGGAGGGAGACTGCTGTCTTCAGTCCTCGATTCGAATGGAACAAAGAATTCTGCATATTTGGACAAGGCTCGTTTCATCTGCTCGGATTTGAAATTCACGATGCAGCCTAATTTCGAAAGTGCAACCATAGAAGCCTCAAGAACCTGGTGGTGAAATCAGCATTTATGGTGGGTGAAATATAGAACGATTCAAGCTTTGCTTACCTCAAATCGCGAGTCGGAGAGACCCACGTACAATTCTTCTGCAATGCTTGCAATAAAGCTGGCATCAAGATTCGAACCTGACCGATGAATCACAGAATTCACAGAAGCTCTCGATGACGATCGGTAGCTAACTTCAGTCAAATTCTCTTCCAGCTTTTCAGAAATGTCATAGCCGAATCGAACAAGGAACTTAGAAAAATGTTTGATGAATTCTTTGTCTGCCTCGTCTGTGTTGCTAAGAGGTAAGGAATCAGCAAGCTTTTGAGCGATTCTGCAAGATGCGAAGTCAATTCAAAGTTCAAAGATCCATGTCAAGGAATATACCTGAACATGGATGACTTGTCTGAATCACTCAATGTAGTTTCTACACCATCCATACTGAGTATCAATCTTTTCAACAACAACATGGAAGCTTGTCGAGAATTCAAGGATGCAAATCCTGAAAGCCATCGAAGAATACTAATCACATCATGGCTCTTGAAATTCGAAGAATGTTGATGCGCAGAATCTTTCAGCATCATTTCACACAAAGAATACAAAATCGGCGATAAATTCCTTGAGCTTGAATTCAGAAAAGCTTGAATATCTTCTTTAATATCCTGCAAGCAATCACCTTCATCGATGAGTATGTTTATCACGTTGTTGAAGGTGATTCTCCACAATGGTTCGCTTAACTTTTTGTGATCAACTTGCCCCAAGAATTTTGACATGATCTTTGAGGCTTTAGGAAAGATTTTGATATCATGCATACAATTCGTGAGAAATAAGAAACAATGCTGTGCTACCCAAGTATACTTCGAGATTTGTGTCTGAAAGAAACGGCTGGCCAAGATGTTTTCAAATACCTCGAGAACTTGCAATTTTCGTTCAAAACTTCGTGAATTTCGGAGGACTTTCAAAAATTTCAGTAGCAAGAAAAGAATTCGTGGCAACTTCGCACTTCCGGATTGTGACAGATCAAAGTTGTTCACACTTGGCCCCAGCAAGAAGTCAGTCAACTGATTCGATTTATCATATTGCACCAGAAATTCAAAACCATGTAACAATATCCTGGAAAGCTCATGTGAGGGGAAAACAAATAATCGCTCTCCATCCGTTGATATGGGGAGGTCAGTCAAAACGAAATCAATGAGAGCAGCAAAAATATCATCCATCCATCTGATGATTGTATCCTGTTGAGGATTTGAGGACAAGCCAAATCCTTCTGCAGTCTGTAGAATTCTTGACACCATTTTCGTGTGATGAGAATCTGGTCCAAAGCACGTAGGCAATATATACAAAAGTAATGAAAGATCGACAATGCAATCATTCAATTTGTAATCAGATTCCGCATTGAATATTTCCTGGAACGTAGCTTTCTTTTCTTTCAAATTCTTGTCTTGCACAAAGATCACCGGAATCAAATATCGAATGGCTCGCTTTGTCATGAAGTGGCTCCAAGACATATCCCTGCAAAACAATCGATGGGGAAAACTGCGCAAACTACGTCCATCATGAATCCATTGGAACATTACGACAGGCAGCGCATCAAACAACATCTCAGTGAAGCTAGAATATCCTCGTTTCCTTGCAATTGACATCAACAAGACCTTAACTTCTGACTCCAGCAGAGGACATTCTTGAAGATAACTGCACACCTGGTAGAGGGACACTTTGAAAAGCTGTTCACTTTTCAAGGATTCGCATCCAGCGATCTGTGAGTAAACGAGAATCTGTAGAAGATTACGTTCTCTCAGAGTCACAGGAGATTCACGGAAAGCATCTGCAGCCTCTTTGACAAGACTATACGCTATGTTCTCGTCCCATCGTGCAAACAAAATTGGAAGAGCAACAACAGCTTCGTATCTTACCATGAAGTCATTGCTTTTCAGACCTGAAGTGAATTCATCAGCGTAACTTCCAAAATCTTCGACGTCGAATACATCTTTAGGTTTCATTTGTAAAATCAATTTCGAATATTTGATGTTTGTGATGACATGCAATCTGGAAAGTGAATGCTGAGGATCGTCCCGAGCATACTGAAAAATTTGTTTAAGGATGAGCTGAAATTCATTTCGATCAACTCTATCTTGGATCTTCCAGGAGTTCTCATGCAGAATTCTCTGGAAAAAATGTAAGGAATTTCGATCCAGAGTGCAAATATTTGGTTGCAGACTTAATCCATCGGACATTTTTCTTGCCAAAGCTCCCGCATAGGTAGGGATGATATCCCAGATGAAACAAATCAAAAGGTTGCGCTGAGTCTTGTCTGAAGTGTTACGAAAGATCGATTGAACGAGCTCTGTGAGTGTTGAATTGCTTTGATCCAAAGAGATGATTTCTTTACAAGTGTATAGAGCGATGAGTTTGGCTTGGAACAGGTAAGTTCTATTGTTGAAAGATTTCATTTCATCTGCAATGTCCTCATCCCATTCATGTACGTTTTCAAAGGATTTTGAGGTGATAAGTGCCTTGCAATGGTTGAAGATAGCTCCTATTCCCTTCCTTTGTTTTGTACTCAATTCAACTCCATACTTCTTGGAGAGCGACAATGTATGATGAACTATACTATGCAAACAGTGGAAGACCTGTAATGCTTTCTCAATGCTAGTAACAAATTTGGGTTGCAGTCCACAGGTTGACTGATAGATATCGCAGCTTGGTTCAAAGACTTCTTCAATCAGTTTCTCGGACAATTCTTTGAGATTGCTGCTCTCTGACTCTGGGGACAAGAGTTCAAACAATTGCAAAGTTAGCATCCGAAGAGAGAAAGTTGCTTTTTGGGTTGAAGAATTCTCAAAAGAACTAGTAAGAGTCCTTAGAACTGACAACAATTTGGTACTGGGAATATACATAGTCTGTGAAATACAGAAATCGGGTTCATCGACGTAACCTTCCAATACATTGCAATGTGACTGGCGTTCGAATTGCAATAAAAGAGTCTCAAAATGCAATGCCTCGCGCATTATTCCTTTGGACCCTTGATCTTCTTGTACCACCCCTTTGAACAAAGATTCATGGAAATCTCTCAGGAATTCTGCATAAGTGCGACTGCAACCCAATCCCCTCAGCGACAGCTGGGGTTTCTCAAATTCAAAAAAGAATCGGAAAAATACGTTGGGACTGTGAATTACTTGAAAGTTGTCATGAAAACTCTCGTTCTTTCCTTCAACGACAGCGGAAGAAGTAAGGAGCAGAATAGCTTTCCCAACGGCTCGCATTTTCACATGATTGTAGTATCCACCAGAGTTGACGCCGGGACGAGCAACCAACTTGATGATTTGATCAATCATCTCAGTCTGTCCAAATTTTTCTGATTTCCATTCGGATGAATATCTGAAGCTCCCACTCAATTCAGCAATTTTGTCAAACAACAGATCGAAAGTATGGTCAACTTCATTCACCATGTCTGCAGCCTCTGTTGTAGCATGGCTCTTTCCACTGCCATGCTCTAAATGTAGCTTAAAGGATTGCAAAACGAATCTAACAATTGAAGGCAAATTCACTGCTTCGAAAAGTGATATTTTCTGCAACATAGCCAGTATAAATTTCAGAGCTCCCTCATTGCAACGTTTCGAGGAAACAGTCGTTCCTACAACATCGTCTAATATCTTCAACCAAATTTCCTTTTTGAGCTGGTTTTTGCTTACCTTTAGCATGAAAATTTCCTTCCAGCAATGACAACGATAGGAGAATTCCGAACTATTCTTATTGTCTTGCACAAGAGCGCGTAGAAACTTGTCGATAAAGTGATCGGGTATGGTTTCAGGGAATCTGATGATCAGCAAGTAAAAACTCTGCAGGAAAAGTTCCGACGAAGGTATCCCTGTGCAACAAATCAAAATTGTAAAAGCATGAATGCAAAATGATGCAGTACCCTCACTGTTCAGATTGATTTCATGTTCCTGTTCGATCAGGAAATCCACAGGGCTCATGTTCTTGGCACGCTTTTTCCGCTCAGCGGATACGGCATGACCGGCCTTTTCAGGATGACTCAGACATCTCTGGACAGCAAAGTTGACTGCAACATCGGCGAGTTTCCACCTTTGATGAGGTTTGAGTTGGAATGAAGTTTTGCTGAACAGTATTGTGTAATCAAACAGGACAATAGAAGGAACTTCACGAACGATCAAATTTGATTTTGAGAGGATTCTCAGGGAATCACAGCATACCTCCTGTTCACAAGTGTCATCGACAACAAAGCTATGATTAGGAAACAAACCATCATTTCTCTTTCTCGACTACAATTGGCAGATATGAACTCCAACGTTGATTGAATCAATTGGCAGCCTTCCTGCGTGTAATCCAGCACAAAAGCCATGAAACAGTAATTAATGGCCGACAATAGTGCCGCTTTGGGGATCTTCGAAGCTCTTCCAGAATTTTCCTATATGCCATTACGATAGGTAGATTTGAAATGATCCATGGATTACCAAAAGCAACATATTATGAAACGAAACAAAGAAGAATTTGCTATTTTCATAGTCTTGACGATCGATCCTAGACACAATTCATGTCATCGAATGATAAGACAATATTCATCAGAGAAACAAATTTACCTGCTCAGGTTGATAAGCGAAATCTTCAACAAATCGAGGGCAGATGTGACGCACTGTGGGTTGAGTTGTCCTGACTCTATCTGCAATATTTCGTCAGGGATGTTTGTGCCATTTGCAATATTCTTGCAATGTACTTGAAAAACGCATGTTCGGCAAAGGTTCATAAGCAGATCATTATTGAGAATATTCTTTCCGTAAAATTCTCGAATAATCTGTATGAAGTGCTCAATATTGTTCCATCATCATCAAGATTACCGATATCGAAGGGTTTATCATGCCAATGAAGCGGTCTGTATCGAAAATCCATTCCAAGAATTGTTGTATTTCATCAACACAGCCAAGACAGATATCATAAAAGACATCCCATCCTATCACAGGCTCGTTACGCTACATTTCAAACTCGTAAATCAACGCACCTACAAATATATTCAAGAATTCTAATATTCTACAGAAAGATCAGTTTTGCCCAGAAAAAGTGAGGGAAATCACGTCTTTGGAACACAATCTTTTATCTTGATCGTCTTTTTTTTGTCAGTCAGAGATGTCAAAATGATCCTGCACAACTCCAGGATTCTCTCTGAGTCGAGCCCTGCAGAGCATTCCATTCAGGTCATGTGAATACCAAAGGAGAGAATTCGCACGTAAGATTGCTGGCGTATTGGCTCGTACAAAGTTGCTTAGATCATCACTCGCTTTTGTCTGGGTCTGCCAGCATTGATAAGTACAGCACCAAAATATCGCAAAGATTGTCACCCTCTCACTTGTGAACATTTCAGAGATTTTTTCTCTGATGTTCTGTATTAGTCGCTCTTGAACTCGCGACATGTTTTTTCCTGGATGACGTGAATCAAGAAAGGCTTGCTTTTTTTTCATCCTTTCTGCTTCCGCTTCTCTAATTCACTCCTCGCATCATTTCGTCTTCCCGTCCCGATCTGTCCCCACCTCTATGCTCCTCTCCACACCACTCCACTCAATTGTCTCTCCATAAATTTCCGCGCCATTCCCACAAACCTGTGAAGCCCACTTGCCCCACCCCTACCCCCTCAAGTCGACATTTCGACATCAATGACCCCTACTGACCTTTTTGCTCAAGTTCCATGAGTGGGCCGACCTAGAAATGAAACAGAAAGAAATGAACAAGTAGTGTCATGGCTGCAGGCAAAAACTCTGCAGACAACAACTCTTACATGCTCGTAGCTGCCCTGAGTACCTTGCTCTACCTTCACCTGCACAAACTCCTGTCAGGACTTGGAAGGCACAGTCACACCCCTTTTGCCTTGCGATCGGGAGGTTCCGTAAAAACACTACTCCTTGGAGTGCCTATGGACATAGCCAAATCCTTTGAAGATACCTCGGCTCTGTATTTTTTGCTTTCTTGCCTCCATTCCCCCTCGTCTCCTTCACTTTTCCGCTCTGTACCGTGGTCAAGTTTAAGCTCGTCTGTGCTCTTAAAGCTCATCACATTGTGAACTCGTTTCAACCCTTCAAAACTCTTTGTAAGCTTCTTACTCCATTCGGTGTTCGATTCATTCCACATGATTCCCCTACCGTCACTGTTGATGATCCAGCCAGAGCTACTGACCCAAGTCCTCCAGCCTTGTACCTGATTGTTGTATCTGTCCTGTGATTCTTGGCGTTTGTTATATTCCAGCAACGAGTAACACAGCAATATTTCGCTCAGCCTCGTCATCTTCAAGAGCATCACGAAACTTCCAACATCAATGGCCTTGTCTAGGACAGAACAATAAAACAGCAAGTTCTGACCATTCTGAGGAACTTTTTCATTTCGAAGATGACTTTCAATCAAGTCCATGGCCTCCTCTGAAGACTTTGAAGGGTCGTAGGATTTTTGCACTTGTCGCTTCCATATTCGAAGAGCATCTTGCTGCTCATTTGGTTTGGAAATAACACTACAAAGCTCCGTTACGATTGTGTAATCCAAGATCGCAATGCACATCCTGTCTTTTGGAACATCCCGCTTGGACTGCTCCAGCCAATCATCGAACAAGGGAGCAAAGATCCTGCCATCGTTGTAATGGTTCATCACCTCCTCGATAAAATCACGTCCAATTAGCTTTTCATCAACTATTGTGTAGAAGCGCCCCAGCAACCTTTGTGAAGCAAACGATACATCCTTATACTGTAAGAAACACATTAGGATCACAGAGCAGATCCGCCATTGGGGTTGTTCGTGGCTATTGCGGGACAGAAAATATTTGCATGCTGCTCTCGCTCGATCTCTAAACATCTTCGCGTCTTCGTCGTTGTATGAAGCTACAAATATATCTGCTTCCGATGCTCCATTTCTGTGCTCGTTCTTCACTTGCTCCCCATTTACGGCCTTCTGAATTCCGTGCATAACCTGCTTGACATGATCTTCTAGAAGCCGATCATCCCCAGCAACTAGAACTTTGTGGTTGTTGACCAGGAGCTGCTTGCATCCCTCTACTCTAGTTTCCCTCCAGGTACACACATTGCTTGAGGTGCGAGCCAGAAGATGACAAGCCTGGCATGACTTTCGGGAAAATGTCTTGAAATTCGTAAACAGTGGTTGGTTCTGTCCCATCCAATAGTAGAGGCTCTCCGAAAGTGCAATCGCCTGGTCGTCTGGTATTGCATTCTCGTGGCCGATTACAAAGTCAACATGCTTGCACAGACTTTGTGCTACGATGCCCGACCAGCACAAGTTCAGAATCACCAGACGAAGGTTCTTGCTATCATTCACCAGGGCAGCGAGTGTGTCCGTGAGCTCCTCAGAGTTGTACCTCTGGCCTCCAATCGTAGTTTCACCAACTTTTGAGCCATGGCATGCTAGGTGGAGAATGACTGGTTTTTCTCTGGCCAGAGCTTCGGCAAGGTCGGTAATCTTTTTTTGAAAGCAATACTCGAAAACTACGTTCTTTGCAAACCCAATGAATGCAGCATTTCCACTATCGTATGCACCTACCATGAATCTTTGTTTGATTTTGTCTCTCTCTCCCTCAACATTCAGTCCGCATCGCTCTTCCGAATCGGCAAAAAAGAGCACCTTGTAGGGAGGATCACCACTGAAGAGCATGTCGGACGCTACAGGACTTCTTGATTCATCACTGCTAATGCCTTCTTTGCAACACACACATATTTCGTTGAGCTTCTTTGCCATACCTCCAACAAACCCACCGTGGTGGGATGAATAGATAGGAAGGGCACTAGGATGATGGAAGGAGAGATCGAGGGATAAGTTAGAGAACAAAGGAGAGAGCGAGGGACGAGAGAGCGCGACGGTGGGACGAGGGACGAGGCGAGAGGACAGGTTGAGGTGGGAAGGTGTTCGGTTTTTGATCCAAATCTCACCTCCGAATGATTGGAGGTTTACCCTGCCTCTTCCTTAGTGTATGTATGTCATTGAGGCGGATTGCTTATTATACCTACTTGATTGACCCTTTCACTTTTAAGTAAAACTTTATTTTCTGATTGGAGCGCAATGGCTTGGAGCAAGCGAAGAGAAGCGAGTCATGCGAGCCTGAATCAACTACCCTACGTCCTTCTCCTCTTCTTCCTCCTGCTCCATGGCTCTTCGTGCTCGCAGCCGAACAGTGCTTCATACACTTCCCTTGATGTTCCAGGTGAAGAAGGCAGGAAGGTCAAAGTTTTCTTGGTGACGTACGCCACGTCGACGAACAAGGCCCTCTGTTTGTTGGCAGCTTCTGCCCACCTGCGAGGATTTCAGGTCAATGTCATCGGTACGAATAGGAAAGATGGGTTCGATAAGCTGTCATACCTTGACAAAATTTATGCACTGAAGGATTTCCTTGACATGGTCCCGTTCGAGGAAGACAACATCATCGTGTTTGTTGACGCCTATGACGTCTTGTTCAATCGAACCATTAAGTACCTCCTCAAAGAATTTTTGAAGATGAAGCATCGTGTAGTTTACTCGGCGGAAGTGGGATGCAGTGCTGGTCGGGAGGCTCTTTCAAGAAGGAGCACTGCCTGCGACAGGGGTTGGCCGTACCCCGGAGTGAACACCGTTGCGCCATACCTTAACTCTGGAGCGACCATGGCCTATCAAAGACAACTCAAGTTGTTTCTGGAATCTTGCATCTTTGAGCATCAATCGTGGATGTCTTACGTCGAGAAGACCCCTGGATTGGTTGACCCTTACTGGTTGGGAGGCGACCAGTCTTTGATTTCCCACATTGTAGCGCATGGGGAAGTACACAGACAACACGATTTGCCAAGTTGCGCTCGACCATCCTATGAAGAATTTCAAGCGCCAAAGATACTGCCTCGAGATGCATCTCGTGCTGCTACGGAACTCAACTCTAAGAGTATTTGCTTCGTGACCATTCATGACCAATTTGACAAATATTGAACAATTTGTCAGTAAAAGTTCAGAATTTTACAGCTCAACTTGAACAAATTTGTCATAATTGTTCAGCAAATTTACCCCATATTTGTCAGAGCCTAGCACACTACCGGGAATACATCATTCATATGATGACCTCTCCCAATATCTAGCTATATGTCCGTAGAACCTCTATGAAATAGATGTGGCCGGGGAGATGGAGAGCTCATGCCGCTGTGCGATGTCGTCGTGACCATTCGTGACCAAAAGGAACAAATAGGGGCTTATTTGTCAGCTCTTACAATGGTCTGAATAAATGCTTTCGTGACCATTCGTGACCAAAATGAACAAATAGGGGCTTATTTGTCAGCTCTTACAATGGTCTGAATAAATGCTTTCGTGACCATTCGTGACCAAAAGGAACAAATAGGGGCTTATTTGTCAGCCCTCTAAATGTCCGAAGAAGCAATGTATAAAACACAATATACACGTGGGGTGAGGGGGTAAAAAATATAACACACCGTATGTAATCAATATAAGGGCCTTTCTAAGAGGCGCAACTACTAACATGTGAGCATCCTATGATGTTTTTATTAAATAGTCACCCAACTAAGTTGGGTGGTCAATTGACCACCCCCTTTGAGCTACTAAGTGATTGACGCAAACTTCCGATTAACCTTTTAACGCTCACACATACCCCTTTGAGCTACTAAGTCATTTATTTCTTCAACATTGTTTGATTGTTTAGTAGTGAATGAACTAAGGATAAGGGGGGTCAAGGATAAGGGGGGGTATTTGGTAAGTGTTTGGACCTTTTGTGATGGATTTGTAAAATACTTTTCAAAACCCCCCCTTATCTTTCACCCCCCTTATCCTTGGTTGTTTTATTACTATCTTTTTTTTCAAGAGGGAAAAAACATATTCAATAGAGGATAATAGCATCATCTCCCTCAGGCATCATCTCCCTCAGGCATCATCTCCCTCCTCTTCATCCAACGAACCATACTCTATCTCTTGCCTAAATTTTATATCTCCTTACCACCCAAAAGACCTAGCGCCGTCGGGGGGCGCACCCCCCGGAATTTTATATCTCCTTACCATAGAACTACATATGGCAAGTGACAACCGAGTCCGTGGTGAGTACCGAGATTATATGGCCTTCCTTAGGACTTTCACAGACCGAGTGTTCAGAAACAAGTTTCTCGTTCAGCAGCTACTCCAAGAACAAATCATAACAGAAGAGGAACTCCAATTTTATGAGAGCTCGCGCTTCACAGCAAAACAAAGGAAGAACAAGGGCTTGATTCAAGTCCATAGAAGAGACACTAGGCTATTCTTTGACTAAGAATATATCATATATACTATAAATATGAGCTGGGTAGCCAGCTTAGGGGTGGATAGGGTCGAGAATGAAATAGAAGACCTTCTATATAGACTCAATCAGCTTGAAGCTAGGCTTAATAACTATCTCCTTATCAATGACCTGCCATCATATGATACTCAATTCCAAACGATAGACTCAGATATATCCATCAACAGGGGCGCTATCAACCAGCTGTTGGACTTAATCAATATCGAGGGAACCTCGAACACTGTCTTGTATAGCAGCAATCAGGACCTCATAATATTGGATTACAGCTCTAACACCGATATATATAACATTCATCTAAGAAAGCAAGATGGCTCATATGTGCTGCTTCAAGATGTCATTGATACCATCAACTTAAACATAGAAGATATTGAAAACCTCACCCAGAACGTCGAGGACATAAGCAATGGCCAAACAACACAAGCACTTCAAGATGTCGGTTCAACTCTCAATGATGGCGTCGATATATTGAGTGGGTTCGGCGATATAGTAAAAGGCGGCCTTGCTATTGGGACAGGTTTCATAGGTGGCCTTATATCATCCGCGACCTCGACCTCCAAGGCTGACGGCCTGTTCATCTTGTCTTGGATTAATGTTCTTCGAATGGCTGTCGGTATCATCATCGGGGTTTTAGAAAGAGAGGTTCTCAATACAATGAAGCAGGATAAGGTCATTCGGATTTACTCACGGACACAAGACGGTAATAAGCTTAATTTCATCGAAGGCGAGGCATACATATATAGCAATATATATAAGACCATCACTATCGATGGCCAAGAACAACAGGTGCTGGACACAAGGAACATCATATTCCAGGGCGAGGAGGTTCTCACTCTTGGCCAAGAGTTAGATGTGAATGAACTAGACCTATATGTTTTTAATTCGAATGCGGATAGTGGCCTAGCACCATATCGAACAATACTTAAAGGGGAAACACTGTTCCTGGACAGGGTTTATTTCAACAACAACACCTTCTATTCTAGTTATGACACATCGAATTATCTTGTGACAAATGGTTATATCACATCTAATGAGGTCGTTGATATCTTGGGGTCTTATTACACATCAAACGAAGTCAATAACATCCTGGGGTCTTATTACACATCTAATGAGGTCAATAACATCCTGGGGTCTTATTACACATCTAATGAGGTCGATGACATCCTGAGGTCTTATTACACATCTAATGAGGTCAATGACATCCTGGGGTCTTATTACACATCTAATGAGGTCGATGACATCCTGAGGTCTTATTACACATCTAATGAGGTCGATGAATTGTTCTTACAGTACGAGGCAAGTAACGCTATATTGACAAGCAACTATATATATCAGCAAAGCATAGGCACCTTGTCCGGACTGCTTCAAGATGTTGATTATACCGCTGTCGGTTACCCCTTTTGGAATGACTCCGGACAGTGGGAGATATTGCCTAACTATTGGATTGAGAACAGCGGCCGAATGATACTATATGCCAATAGCGCGAATGAGTTAATGATAGATACAACCTCTACTAATCTTTTAAAGATTGGGCACGTTATCAATGACGCGACGACCGTCTCCTTGGAATCAAGAGGGAACGCTCAGGTCGTGATAGACAGCAATGACAACAGCACAACCGCAACTTTCAAGATATTGAACAACAGCTCAACAAACAGTTCATACCTGTTCCGAGTCAATGAGGATGGAGACACCGATATATCGCGTGACTGCTATGTTACAGGCAATATCTACGGAAGCAACATCAGACTCTCGAATGATATATCGGCCAACACTGGAACAATCGACACAGCATATGTGAATGGCAATATCTACGGAAGCAACATCAGACTCTCGAATGACATATCGGCCAACACTGGAACAATCGACACAGCATATGTGAATGGCAATCTATACACAAGCAACATTGAGGTTTCAAATTCTCTAAAACTGAGTGACAAGGTCGCAATCGATACCAATAGAATCGATATCAAATACCCATATAGCAATTACTTGAAAGGAGATGTGTTCCTTGGCCCTTCAAAATCTACAGAGGTAATCAATGAGCTGAACACAAGCTACACAAACATCCAATTTTTTGGCACTATATATGACACATTCACGGTGTCAAGTTTTTATCGTATGAATTGCGACAGCAGCCAGAAAATTATTTTGGATGACCTGGTCTTTGGTCAATACATTAATCTTGCTTGGTGGTTCAGATTTGACAACTTCGACGAGAACGATGGAGGTAACACTGAATATCGCTTATTCCAAATCAAATATCGAAAGAAGAGCCTGGACCCGCTTTATAATCTTGACCCATACTATGATGGCACAGAGCTATATTACAACGTTTTTAGAACT